AGCGCTCGGCTTTGATAGTTTTTTCTCGAAAGTGCACGGCTCTGATGTTCTACTGGTCTCACCACGTAAAAAGCCCAATTTGCACTGTTTGGGACGATCTGGCCTATTCAAAAATAAACAAAATTTCATAGGATTAGACTTTAGCGAATGACTTAATTATGTGAACAAGAAATTAATATTTAAAAAATTCGTGGAGTATTAAATTGTGATTGAAAAATGTTGCTATACACCAACACCTTTCATTCCTCTCTGGTGCGCCTCTCAAGCTTGACACTCATGACGTCACAGTTTAGACCTCTAGTTATTCTTATAACCTCTTTGCAGTGAACACATTTATATATAGCACTAAAGGTCCCCAAAACATGCGTTTAATAAGCATAATGTCGCGAAAAAGAAAAATGACGGACTTGCTTTTAAGCGCATTCATTTTTCCCACAATCGGTCAGAAGGTGCAGTATTGTGTATACGTGTATGTTATATGAAAAAAGAAAACAGAGAACAAAAAGAAAACAAAAGAAAACTGAACTGATCTTCAAACTCTATGAAGATCTAGGCGTTGTGAGGGACACGCAGCGTGACAGCGCTGTTTCTAATCCTCTCAAAAATGGCGACAAAGCCAGCTCTGTGATCCTGCACAGCCATAGCGAGTTTACGTGGGTGACGTCACAGCTGTGACCTCTAGAACTATTATTACCTCTTTGGTTGCGCCACGAATTTATGACTGCACTGTAATGACTCTTTTTTATATAAAAATGATTTATCAACATGTTTTGAATGGTGTCAAACGCATAATTATGCTGCTTTTAAACGTGAACCCCCCCCCCCCCCCCCCACCAAGAACTTGTTGTTGGCTTTAGAAAACTTTGATCAAGTGTTAGATTACAGGTAAATGTATTTGAGCGTTACCATAGCAACAAACTCGACTGGCATGTCTACACTTATGTTTTGTATTTTTTTTAATGAACAAAACGCTTTTTTTTCCTTCTGAGGAAGCTGAACAAAACGCTTTTTTTTCCTTCTGAGGAAGCTCACGCATTTTAAAGTTGATAAATCATTGATGTCCATATTCTATTATTCAATCATTGAAAGTGTAATCAATTTTTGTAAGACAGAATAGGCCGGGAACACAAGATCATCATCATCCAGTGCCAGATCTGTGACAGACATCGGCGATCATGGTTTTCCGTTCATTCCTTTGCTCGGATGCTCCCTAAAAAAAGTTACGTTTCCCTGATCTTTCGCTGTTACCCATTTGTTTATGTTCCTTAAGTATGTTGTTCTGGGCCTATCCCTGCTTCGCTTGCCCTCAATTTTGCCAGTGAAAGCAAGATGTTCAAGACCCTTATGTCTATTCAGGTGTCTCAAAAACTGCTTTGTCGTTTCCCGATTGTCCATAAACATTGAGCGTCCCACGTGGGCTTCATCAAGCACTACCTCATTTGATTTCTTTTCCTTCCACGATACTCTTAGTAGTCTCCTAAGAAACCACATTTCTGTTGCTTCTATTTTATTTTCACTGTCTTTAGTGATTGTCCAGCATTCACGGCCATATAAAAGGGTTGATCAAACATAGCAAACAAGATATCAAGATTAAAAAATTGAATCGATTAATATAGAAAGCACGTGAATTTCAAGATCTACTTTCCGTTACTTCGATGAATTATTCATTATCGCTTGCGAAAGAAAAAATACCACAACCAATTCCATATTTCTAGACGACTGGCACCTCTTGTTCCCTCAAATAAAAATATAAATCACAAGTGATTACGTATCTAAATTAAAACTTTTAATTTTAACAATCATTGTTATTTATATTATGCATGTGACTGTGATCTTGTTTGTCAGTGTTAGTTTCTCCTGTATTATTATGGTTATGTGCACATAGATCTGTGGAGGAGAGGATAATGTGTGAAATAATGTGTTTTGTATGGGAGTGCACACGCACTTGTTTATATGCGTCTGTGAGGTGTGCATGTGTGTTTGTGTATATATGTGTGTGTGTGTGCGCGCGCGCGCGCGTGTGTGTGTGTGTGTGTGTGTGTGTGTGTATGTGTGTGTGTGTGTGTATGTGTGTGTGTGTGTGTGTATGTGTGTGTGTGTGTGTTTGTGTATGTGTGTGTATGTGTGTGTGTGTGTGTGTGTGTGTGTGTGTGTGTGTGTGTGTGTGTGTGTCTGAGTGTTTATGTGTACTTGGCGAAACAACAAACCGATGTGCCAGGATCTGGATAGTAAAGATTTAGCTGATCTGATCATTGGTTCGTCTTTACTATTGGGTACGAGGCGGGGTAGGATTTTTTTTTAAATTCTTCTTTTTTTTGGCGGGGGCGGGGGCAGTCCATCTAACTATGTTCTGAACAGTACTTGGGTAAACATTTGTCTCACCAAAGCATATTGAAAAGCCAGAGATCCTTTGAAGTCCGCGCGGTCAGCTACCGCCAAGCGAGCCGTCCCCAGTTGTTGACAAACAGAAGAAAGGTGAGGTAATCATAGCCTGGGGGTGTTCCTACCGTCACCTGACGCTCAGCGTCCTAGAGGGAGGAGCTTAGTGTAAATACTGTCATTTCATTGGTTAAACGCTATCGGAGGTAAATGCGCATGCAAATTCTGAATCCCAAGGAATTTCAGTTGGATTTTGGCGGACATTTTGCGTCTTTATTGTTCATTGAGTTCTGATATGTGACGTTGATTGTGTTTCCTGATTATTGCTTTATCGCTATCTGTTTTATCATTGACTCTTGATTAGCAAACGGAAGGACATTCTCTTTGACCCTCATTCTAGCTTCAACAGTGAGTCCACCATTTGTGCAAGGTCAGTGGAAGGTCACCAAAGCTTTTCAAGTTCAGCTTCAAGACAGAGGTGGTGCCCACGTGTTCGTTGCATTGCTGCAAGTCTACAGAAAGGGTGAGTGATGTTTCGTGCTTATTATATAATGTTTTATAGATTACCATCAGCAACGATGTTTCTCTACTCTTTCCCCAGTTTCTAAAGACCAAATTAATGTTCATCTGTCTGTCTGTCTGTCTGTCTGTCTGTCTGTCTGCCTGTCTTTCTCTCTCCTTCTCCTCTCGTCTCTCTCTCTCTCTCTCTCTCTCTCTCTCTCTCTCTCTCTCTCTCTCTCTCTCTCTCTCTCTCTCTCTCTCTCCCTCTCCCTCTCTTTCTCCATCTACCTATCTCTCCCTCTATCTCTCTATCTCTATGTATCACCCTTTTTCGCCTTCTTTGCCCAACTCCCCTCTCCCTTTCTATGTCTTTTTCCTCTAAGCTTCTTGTTTTGTTGTTATATTGTTTACAGCTATTTTATTTTTATTATCACTATTTTAATAATATGTGTATCATTATGTATTACAAATTTTATCATTATTATCATTATTTACTTGATGAATATCTACTTTTCTTAGTTTTAGTAAGCGTTTTACGGCACTTGCAACACAATAAGGTCATATAAGTGCCGAAGATTAGAGGTCTTAGAAGAGAGTAACAAACACACCAAAAAGGAGAAGAGATCAGGATGATAGATGTTTGATAATAAAGAAGGATCAAACCACACCAAAACCCCCGCCAAACACCCACAGACCGGTCTTGTCTGTTATCACTGAATTTAATTATGAACCTAAAATGATCATTATTTACTCATTTTGTTTCTGGTTTTAAAAAAGAAGTAATATATGGGTATAATTATAAAATGAACAAGGTAAATAATCAAGGACTTTGTTCAGTTCCAAGTCTTAAAGAAGAAAATGTCGCCATTACCTTCGATGATGACATAATTTGACTAATACTGTTAGATAATATCTTAATTATATTAGGAACAGATCACAATCCTAGAGCATAAAGTCAGAAGTTCAATAACTATAAAACAAGAAACATCCGGAAGTTGAACAAACAATCGAGGAGTAAAATGTGCACTATGAAATACCCCCTCCCCCCAAAAAAAAAGAAAAAAGAAGGAAATAATAATATGCACCCATCCATCCAAGTGCCGAAGATTAGAGGTGTTACAAGAGAGTAACAAACACAAAAAAGAAGGAGGAGAGATCATGGTGATAGGAAAGAAGGAGCAAACCACACCAAAGCGCCCGCCAACCACCCACAGACCGGTCTTGTCTATTATCACTGAATTTAATTATGAAGGAAAATGTATCGTTATTAACTCACTTTGCTTCTGTTTTTAAACAAATAGTAATACATGGGTATAATTACAAAATGAACAACGTAAAAAAAGAGAACTTAGTTCAGTTTCAAGTCTTAAAGAATAAAAAGTCGCCATTTCCTTCGTTGATGACATTTGATCAGTACTGTTAAATACTATCTTAATATGATAAAAACAAGGAACAGATCACAATCCTAAAGCATAAAGTAATAAAGTTCAATAACTACAATAATTATTAAACAAGAAACCTGTACTTTGCCAGACACATCCGTAAGTTAAATATTAGTAAACATAGCACTTTAGAATTTTCATTTTTAGTAATCACTGGGGAGTTGCTATACTTCAGGATTGGGTTTGCTATATTGGAAATATCCTTAACTATTACAATTCTTCTTTAAATATTAATAATGATAATGATAATAATAATAATAATAATAATAATAATAATA